GCCTCCTGTTGAAGTAGGAAGTGGAGGTTGCTTAATCAGAGTGTGTGTGTTTGTGTGTGTGTTTGTGAATGTTCATCTAACAGAAGCAAGCCAAGTTTCTAGACCTTAGGAAGCTGGTCAGCTCCTCTCTCCCTCTCGTTTTTTGTATCGTTCTACAGTTGAAGGGTTCTGCCTTTGGGGCAGCCCTTAAATTGCCCCCCAACAGGAAGCAAGAAACCAACCCAACGACGAACCGTGGGCATCTGGGTGTCGATATTGAACATTTGCTTTTAACAGTTGCTGGTTTTCAAAAAAGCAGATTTTTCTCCCCTGGGGGGGGGGGGGGGGGCGTGTTTCTGTGTTCCAACAGTCGGACTGAAAAACAGGCCTGCATCGTAATCACGATGGCGCAGGCTGCCTCTTGCAAAATCCCCCCCTCTTCCCCCCGCCACTTCCTTTGTCTGTTGTGGTTTCCTTCCACTCTTCCTCTTTTCAACTTCCGGCTTCAAAGTTTCAGGCTGAGTTGGCAAGCGGAGCGGAGCCCTCCAAAGCCCCGGCCTGGGCAGGCAGAAGGCTGCCCCCTCCCCAAGTAAATGGGGTGGGAGAACGTGGGTGCAACAGGGGTGTACGGCCACCCTAATTTGGCCCTTGCCTGCTTTCCTGCCCCACCTTGAGAAACCTCGGCCTGCCTCCTTTTCCTTGCCCCATCGAGAACGTTCGAGAGGAGAAAAGGAGAAACAGGCCGGGAAGTGGCCAGATTTTGTGCTGTTGTGTTGCTTTTCGAAAAACCGCATTGCTGACAAGGAGCCCTGAAGCGCTCAAGCATCTTATCAGTTTCAGCCTCTTTGGAAGCAGGTCAGACCTGATTGCTTTGGGACACACACACACACACACACACACACACACACACACACACACACAATCAGGCCTGAGGGTTAAAATCGGGAGGGGAGGAGCAAACCCTGAAAACCCCACCTGAAGGGATAGGCATCCTCAGACTCAAACAGCCTTGTGTGGCTCCCGTGAGCGAGCCAAGCTGCACAATCAGGGCTTCAAAGTGAAGAGGGCACAACTATGTTCCTTGGTGGCGTTTGGGGGACTATAAACTAGCAAGCAAGGATCTCTAGCCCCACTCAAAAACTTTGTTTCTTCCATCCTTCCTGCCTCTAGTGATGTCAGTCCCACCTATTACCCACCCCCCCCACAAGCAGAGACCCCGTCCAGACGACCTTCACGGGCACAACTGGCAGTCAGAAAGTGCCTGGCATCCCTGAGCCCTGGCATCCCCCCGGGGTCAAGTTTGGGCATCCCCGGGACGGCTCTGAAAAGCTCTCCCACTTTCCCGGGAGGCAGGTGGGATGCTCTGGAGGGAAAGGGCCGCGGGCGCAAGGCCACCTGGCTCGGACACGGGTCTGCCCAGATGTGCGAACAGGGGCCTGAAGCCAGACCTTCCTGGGAAGAGAGCGGCGGCCGGGGTGCGGGGACCCGGGTGGTGACGCCGCGCGCCAAATATGCGGACCGTCCAGTTTGCCCGTCTTGCGCCCGGCGGGAGCTTGGCCGGCGTCTGTCGGCTTCCTCGCTCGGGGGGCGGGGGGGGGGGGGCCGCGGACGGGGCGGGCCCGCCGCGGGGGGGAGGCTGGGGGGGGCCCGGGCGGGGGGACCTTCCCTCCCGCGGCTCTTCCACCCGCCCTCGGGGTGCAAAGCCGGCAGGGGCGGCTCGGAGGCGCCAGCAGAACCGCGGGGCGCCGGGGGGGGGGCGCGGGGGGGGGGGGGGGGGTGCCGAGCGGGCTTCTAGGGGGGATGGAGCCTCTTCCTTTCCTTGGGGGAAGACGGCGGGGGGCTCCAGCGCTGAGTCACCCCGGGATGGCGAAAGGCACTTGGGGACGTTTGTCTTGGTTAGAAAGATTTGCGCCAGAAAATGCGCCTCCTTCTCCTAAGCCCGAAGGCGGCGAGGAGAGGCTTCGGTGAGCCTCTGGGCATATGCAAAGCGCGCTCCTTCTTCCCTCCCCACCCCTCCAGACCTCCCAGGGCGGGCCTCCCCCCCTTCCGCACCCCGTTCCTCCCCTCTTCAGGGATTCCTGCGCCCGCTTCCCTCCCGGGACGCGCCTCCGAGGGGACCAGCAGCCTGCCAGGCGCGCGTGCGACGTTGGCTTCGGTTTCGGGCCCGGGGCGGCACGTGCCGAGCTCCCTCCGCCCCCAGCGTCCCGGGACCGCAACTTAGGGCGCTCGGTGGCGGCGGGGGTCGCGGGTGCAGCCGCTTTGAAGGCGAGGGGGGCCCCCCGGGCGCCCCCTCCGCCTCGGTTCTGGCTTCTTCTTCTTCTTCGGTGCTGGGCGCTGACCAGGGTCTTTGGGGACCAGTCCTCTGCACCTGCCCAGAGGCACCCTTCCCCTCCAAGCTTCCCAGGCAGAGACAGGAGATTCCCAGAGTCTCTGGAAGAGCAACAGGGAAGACCCGGCTGGGGGGCATCGCTGTTCCCCCCCATAAGTTTTACTCTCCCACCTCTGGCTGGGTCTCCATTTCCGGGCCCTTTTCAGCATTTAAGGGCCAAAGGGCCTCCCTGCCTGGAGACCCCAAGAGGCTGCCGGATGCAGCTGAAAGCAGGAAGATAATAATGAAAAACTTTAAAAAAAAAGAAAGCAAGCAGGAAGGTCTCTTGGCACCTGGAGGGGGTGGGGGGGGCAGGAAATATTTTTTGCTTGTAAAAAAATGCAGGCAGGCTCATCAAAGCCACTCCTTGCGTGGGGCAAACCCAGCCTTGGATACAGAGAGAGGAAAGGGTCCCTCCTATTCCCCAATATTTCCCCCCCCGGGCAACCTTTTTCTGGGGCCAGCGCAGGACGGGGGGCGGGGGGGGGGGGAAGCTTTGGAGACACCCAGGTCTGTTCCCTGGGCGAAAAGGAACAAAGAGCCGAGGGGAAGCCGGAAGGGGAACTGCCTGGTGTACGGAGGAAGTCGAAGCAAACCAGCGGAATTGACAAATACATATATAAAAAATAATGTGTGTTTTAAAAAGCCACACTTGACTTAGCCTGGCATCCATTTCGGGCTCTCCCTCGAGGTCAAAAACCAGATCTGAGGCAGCAAAGAAACCTGATTTATTCTTTCTAAAAAATAAAATAAGCTGGTTTCCTGCTGCCAAAATAATAAAATGAAATAAAATAAAATAAAATAAAATAATATAAAATAAAATAAAAGTAATAGTAATAGTAATAGTAATAGTAATAGTAATAATAATAATAATAATAATAATAATAATAATAATAATAATAATAATAATAATAATAATATGAGGTCGTGAGGTTTCCTCGTCTTTCTTTGACCGGGTTGGGAAAGTCTCCTTGGCTCAAGAGGGTCTCCTGGGGAGCCCCCTCCCCGCATTCTGAGCCTGGCGTTGCGTCCCTCCGTCCTCACCCTGGTGCTCCTTCTCTCCCCGCTTCCCCCCACCCCACCCAGGCGAGATGGAGGCCTTCAGCTCGCGCAACCTGGCGCTGCAAGCGGAGAAGAAGCTGCTGAGCCGCATGGCCAGCAAGTCCACCGTCACCATGTTCATCGACGAGACCAGCGGGGCCGTGCTGGACGAGCTCTACCGCATCTCCAAGGAGCACACGCAGGACCGGGCGGCCTCCCAGAAGGTCATCAAGGACCTGGTGAAGGTGGCGGTCAAGGTCTCCGTCCTCTTCCGCAACAGGCGCTTCAGCGAGGCCGAGCTGGCCGTGGCCGAGGACTTCAAGCAGAAGCTGCGCCAGGGAGCCATGACGGCCGTCAGCTTCCACCAGGTGGCCTTCACCTTCGAGCAGGCCGTGCTGAGCCGCCTGCTGGAGGAGTGCCGGGACCTGCTGCTCCGCCTGGTGGAGAGGCACCTGACCCCCAAGTCCCTCGGGCGCGTCCGCCACGTCTTCGACCACTTCGCCAACGCCGAACTGCTGGGCCGGCTCTACAGCCCCGGGAGCCCCTTCGAGCCCCACCTGGAGAGGGTCTGCCAGGGCCTCAACCAGCTCATGGACCAAGGGAAGCTGTGACCGGCCCTCCCCACCCGAAAGGGGGGGAGGGGAGGGGGTGTGTGAAGTGGGAAGGGGGGGTGTCTCTCCGGGTCGAGCAACGGAACTCACGGCCACTGGTTCCACGCCTGGGATTTCGGACCTGGGCCTAAAGACTCAGCAGGCTGTGTTTGCAATGGATCAGCGAGGACCAGGAGCTTGGGATGAAAGCGCTTGGCTTCTTCAACTGGAAGGGTCCCTGAATGTGCAAGGGGTCCACTCGATGGACAATTCCTTCTGGCCGGAGGATGTGTGTGTGGGGGGGGGGGGTGTGTTTCACGTCTTGGATTGGGGAGGGGGATTGTGGTCAAATTGTTTTCCTTCCTTTTTGCTTCTCCCGGCAAGCAATGCTTGGAAGGTGCCCGTTACAGCGTCTGCGGTGAATGGAATCTCAGAATTGGACCTGCTTTGTGCCCTCAAGGGGACCCCCCTCCTTTCCCTTTGGCCGGAATTGTCTGGAATAAGAGGGGGGGGGGCTTTTCTGAGCTGCTGGAAATTATCAAAATGGATTCCTAGCTTGTTTTTTTAGGGTGGGGGGAAATTCAGGAATGTCCCCCCCCCCACGTCCCCCCTCCTTCCTATCTCCATGTTTGGACTTTTCTCCAGCGTGGAATTTTTGTCTCAGGGAGCCCAAAATCTGAAAATACACTTATTTTGGTTTTTCAAGTGTTTTTCAAGTGTTTTCTGGGGGGGGGAGGGATTCCTGGGGCTGCTGGAGACCCCCAGGGCGTTCTCGGGGGGGGGTCACTGCCTGTCCAGACGGGCGAGCACAGACAACACAGCCACACCGCCCAATTGGCAAAACCTGCATTTCTTTAATCGGAGAATAGGGGGCCACCAATTCCAGAAAGATCAAAAGACGGGGGGGGGTTTGGGGGGGTGGGATGGGATGGGATGGGGGGCCTCTATCCAGTATCCTCCCCTCTGGCCCATACTCCACAGCCCTTCCCAGGAATCTGCCCTCCGGCACGCTCAGGATGGACCCAAACAGCTTTGGGGGGGGGAGGGCAGAGGGAGGAGGCACAGGGGTGGGACCGTTCCTTCCCCCCCCCAGAAGAAGTTGAGGCAATAAATATTCGGGGTGGGGGGGGGGCAACAAAGCTAGGGACCCACTCGGGCGCCCATCATCCTGGCTGGTTGGCGAGAGGGGCGGGTGGGGGGGGCGCAGGGTGTCCAAGGGAAGCAGAAGTGAAACCGGAGCAGGCGAGGGGGGGGGACCCCTCATCTCCAGGGGCCATTTTAAGGTCATCTGTTCTTCCCCATAGAGGGGGGGTTGTCAGGGTGATGCCAACGGAGGCCTTTTTTGGGGGGGGGTCTCAGAGCTTGAAGATCTCGTCCTCCTGGTCGAGCAGAGCGTCGGCACGGGCGATCCGGGTGAGGGGTACGGGCCCCAGGACTGCCCGCTGTTGGGCCCGGGGCGAAGGCTCACCCTGGTAGGAGCCGGAGGAGGAAGGCGTGGGGCTCATCCCGGCTGCCTCCCCCAAAATCCTGCAGCGGGGAGGGACAGAGAGAGAGAGAGAGAGAGAGGGATGACGCCGGGGGTGCCAGGGAAGACAAGCACCTTGGCCTCGTTTCTTTGCCTGCCCTTCCTTTCGCTGCAACGGAGGAACTCGAGCGAAACAGCCGCCGAGCCTCCAGAGCGAGGGGCAGTCTACCCCCAGGCCAAGCTGCCGTTCACATCCATTAGCGGCCTCATTCGAGGTCTGGATTCTTTCCATTGTTTCTAAGGCCGCCAGAGTCACTTCTTGAGACGAGAATTAGAAATTAAGACCAAATATATCAGATAAAAACGAAAATTCAACGTGGGGCTGGGAGGGAAAGAGAGGAAGCTGTTGACATTTCCGCACCCGCGGTTTTAAGTCTCTGCCACCCTTGTTACCTGTCTTTTGTAAGAACTGAAAAAGCGCACACACACACACACACACACACACACACACACACACTTCCTGAGAGAATCTGGAGGCCGTTCAGAGCGAGGGCGCCCCCTGGTGGCCCACACAGAGCCCTGGACAATGTTTAACAGAAGTTGAGTCTCACAAACATCCCCTGCCTGGAACATTAATAATATTCTGCTGGCCTGGCATTACCTGGTGGTGCCTCATCCACGCCTGACTCGGGTCTTCACTGCTTTTTTAGGTAGCGAACATAATAAAAAGCTACGATTTTCCTCCCCCGAGCAGACACTTCCACACTTCTGCCTCCATCCAGAGAAGAAAAGGACTCGAATGATTCATTCCCTAATGCAGCTTGGCTCACTTGCACCGAGCTACCTAACGCAGCACTCCATGCAAACCGCCTGGGCCTGAGCTGCCTGCATGTAGACACCCAATACCCCATCCCTCCAACCCCTCACTCACCCGCTCTCCCCTTCCCGCAGCTTCTTGGCGGCCGCTTGCTTGGATCGTCGGATCTCGGAATCCAGTTTGAAGAGGAAATCGGCAGCCGAGAGGTCGTGTTTGGGGACGGAGCCCCCCGAAGAGCCGTTCTTCCGGGGCTGCTTCTGTTTTTTGGTCGACTCGGGCGGGAGGGCCTCCCCTCCCTTCTCCTCTCCCTCCTCCTCCTCCTCTTCCTCCTCCTGCTCCAAGTCCAGTCCATTGGACAAAGCCTTGGGCTTGGTCGGCACTGGGATCAAGAGAGTCTTTTTGAGGAAGATGGAGTCGTTGGTGTACAGCCGGTTGGCCCTCTTGATCTGCTCCGTCTGGAAAAGGAATGGGGAAGGAGGGCAAAGCAAGGCGCTAGTCCTCATTGCTCAAGAGGGCAGCCAACGCCCACTGGCCTTCCCTGTGCCAAACGTTGGGTTGAAAGAGCATTTCCCGAGTGTCCGTTGGCTGATTTGAGGGGCAACGTTTTGGGGACAGGCTTTAGCGCTGTGGCTTATGGGTGTTGTGGCTAAACCTTTGCAGATTCGGGGATCTAAGTGGAAGCCCCCAGCCGGGGGGGGCCTTGGAAGGATCAGGGGCGGCTGCAATAAGGGAGGCAGCCTATCTTAGAAGGGGGAGAGGGGGGGGGCTCTGCCTGCTCCTTGCAGATCGGGCGGGCTCCCCTTCTGGAAAGGCACTCTGTGCATGCTCAGAGGCTGCCGCCTTTCCCCCCCGCCCAGCCCGTGTCCGCCCCCCCCCTTTGCTCACCGTCACCCCGTACATGACGGCCAGGCCCTGCAAAGTGTCCCCGGGGCGCAGCTGGTGCTCCAGCCGCCGTTCGCGCACGGGCGAGCTGACCAGGCTGCCGTAGGATCGCGCCCGGCTCCCCCGCAGCAGCCCGGCGGCCCCCGGAGACCCCCGCCCGGAGGGGGAGGAGGCCATCCCGCCAGGCCGGCTCCGAGGAGGGAGGGAGGGAAGGACTCTGCTGCCCCGCTGCCCGCCGCCGCCGCCGCCCTCGCCCTCCTCCGGGGCATCTCAGCAGGCGCCCCCGGCCAGGGCCGGCGAAGGGCGGGCGGGCGACCCCATGGCGACCCCCGAGGCTGTTTCGGCGGACAGTTGAACCGGAGACCCCCGATCCCCCTCCTCGGCCCCGCCCTCCCGGCCAGCTGATCGGCCGCAAAGGCTGCTGGGCCTTGTGGTCCTGGCTCCTCCCCTCCCGGGGACAAACTACATGGCCCATGCTGCCCCCCTGGCAAAGGAGGATGGGGGCTGTAGTCCTTTCTTTTCAGTTAAGGCCTCATCCATCCCGATTGGGGAGCTTTTCCCCCTTGCAGCGTTGAAAGAGAATTTCACCATCTTTTCTTCTTATTATTATGGGTGATTTTGCAGGATTTTCCGGCCTCTTTTTTTCTGCAGCGGCAGAAGCCAACCAAACTTTTATTTTTTATTTTTCTTATATGTTATCCATGTATTCATAACTATGTTTTTACTTCTGCCTATTATCTTGGAAGCAACTGACAAACCAAATAAAATACAATAAAAATAAACTTCCCGCGGGGCCTGCCGGGAAACGGAGTCCTTCGCCTTGCAGGCCGCAGAGAAAGAGAAGGCCGGAGCGCCCCCTGCCGTCGGCGGGGAGTCGCGTCCTGATTGGCGGAGCGGGGAAGGGCTCGGCCAGCCCGCTGCCTGCTGGGAAATGTAGTCCGGTCGTCTCTCCAGGAAGAAAAGCCCTCGCCTCTGCCAGGCGGGGGGGGGGCAGCGGTGGGGCTTCTTTTGGGCGGGGGGAGCATGTCCTTCAAGCGAGAGGGCGACGACCTCAGCCAGCTGCAGGTGCTCAAGGTGAGGAGGGGGCGTCTGGGGGGCATAGCGGGGGGTCATTCTGCCCTTTGCTGCTGGCAGCTCTTTGCTGCTCCATGTCCAGGCGGTGCCGGAGCATGTGCAGAGTGCAGGCCAGCGCAGATTGCTCCTGAGGTTTGCAGCCAGAAGATGGGGGTTGTAGTCCAGCATCCAGGAAGGCCATCATTACCAGGGGACGGGGGCTGGGCAAAGAGAAGGGGGCCTCGCCCTCTTCCATTCATCCCCCCTTCCTTCCCTCCCCCCTCTCCTCCCCCCCTCCCCTCATGCTTCTGCAAACAACCTGACCTGTTGGACTTCCACCTGCTTTGCTCCCTATCCAGAAACGGAGGGTGGCAGAGCTTCTGGCCAATTATATCCCCGAGGACGAAGCTTTGCTGCTGCGCGATGGCAGGTGAGGTCTTGCTTGGGGGCTCGGCCCCGAGTGCGGATCCTGAGGCTGCTCTGGGCGCGAGGTTGGAGGGGGGTTGCAAAGGCCTCCTCTTCCTCCCCACTTCCCTCCCTCCCTTTTCTAGGTATTCCTGCACCGTCTGCTTCCACAGGCCGGTTTTCGACACTCTGGACATGCTCACCATTCACCGTTCTGGGAAAAAACACTTAGCCGGTAAGGATCCTCCCGGCCTCCAGCTAATTTCAGCATCCCCCCCTCCACTTTGCAACCAGCGTAAAGACCTAGCCCAGTGAGGCTCTCCGCCAAATCGGCTTGCATGGGTTTACAAGCCGCGGGGTCGGAGAGCTTCGTCCCATTTCACAGACGGGGAAGACGGAGGCCCTGAGATTTTGCCTCCTCCAGATGGCTTAAAAGTCCGGCTGCTGAGCATGGGGGGCTTTTCTCTCCATCGCAGGTTTGCAGAGGTTTTACGGGAAGAAGGTCTCTCTGGAGAACGAAATTCAGAAGCGTCATCACCAGGCGTACCTGGAGGCGGAAGAAAATGGCACCCAGGTAGATCCTGCTGGACTCTGATCCGCTGCTCTTTCCCACAGGGTGCATTTCTTTAAAAATTTATTCCGAAATAAATGCTTGGCGTGGAAGGAGCCTTAGAATCGCCTCTGAGAACTTAGCACAGAGGTCCCTAAACTTGGCCACTTTAAGACTGGTGGACTTCAAGTCCCAGAATTCTCCAGCCTGCTATGCTACGCTATGCTATGCTGGCTGGAGAATTCTGGGAGTTGAAGTCCATCAGTCTTAAAGTGGCCAAGTTTAGGGACCCCTGACTTAGTAGGTGAAATTAAAACCCCTCCAGATTCTGGCTTTGTTTCCTAGGTGGCTCAGGGACCAGCCCCCTTACTTGCCCAAACGAGGAAGATTACCCAGAATGCCTTGCTGAAAACGGTGCCTTACAACAGCTGCTGCCGCTCCAAAAGGTGAGACCCACATCTGGGAAGGGCCAGCCGCTGGTTCTCTGCTCTCTCCGCCAGGAAGGTCAGTTAATATGAAAGCCTGGGTCTCTGATTTGATGCAGGAACGAGGCCAGTGCCAGCACTTCCGGGCCGAGTGCCAGCTTCAGAGCAGCCGAGACCCCTGGGATGCCCAAGCCCCCCGGTTCTGACTCGGTGGACAAAGAGCGGCAGGTCGAAGAGGAAGGGAGCCCCTCTGCCTGTTTGTCCAGCTGCAGACGTGGAGCAGCAGGTCAGAAGCCGTTTTGAGATCTTGTCAGTAAGCCCAGACACCGAATGCGCAGAGAATGGCGGCCCACCTCGCAGGGAGCGTAAACCCTAACCCTGGGAAAGGACCCGAGTTAGCCAGGGAAGTGTCGAGGACAGGAAAGGGGGAATGTAAGACGTGAATCTTGTTTAGGTCCAAGAAGCAGCATTGTGCACGAAAGGTGGCTTAAACGTGGCTTATTGCCCTATAACCACCCAGAGTCTCTGGATACCAGATGGGGGAAAATAAACTTCATGATCAATCAATAAACAAAGCCCCAGTTGGCTCCACCTGCACAACCAACCGCCTTTGCTGTTCACAGGGATGTCGCCCACGAGCAAAGCTAAGTCATTTTCAGAGTCCTCCTTTCTCACAGAGCCTCGAGAGAAGAAGTTTGCCCGTCAAGGAAAGGGGCGCAAGACACGGAAATCATCTGAGCCCGACGATCCGGAGAAGCGACGCACTTTGGAGCATTACCTGAAGCTGAAAAGGTAACTCCAGAGAAGAGACCCTGGGTGAGGGGCTGCTTATAAGGGCTAGCCTGGAGTCTCCTTCCTTGGCCAAATTTCCTTCCTTTTCTCACAGTTCGGGGTGGATCCAGGACGGGTCCGGCAAATGGGTCAAAGACGAGAATGTGGAGTTCGATACGGATGAGGAGGAGCCCCCAGTGCTGCCCCCATCCTGATGGCGGACAGAAAGCCCCCCCCCGCCCCCGCCTCCCCTGGCCACGCCTTGGAAGAGTGCCAGGAAGACCCGGAAATCTGGAATTAAATTAAATGCACTTTTGGCCCAGTCACTGGGCGTTGGAAGCAACTTTTTGCCACCTTTGTGTGTTGTCTTTTGGTGGTGCGATTGTTCGTGTTTATTCCTCTTCGGCTGCCGTTTGCATTTCGTTTCCAACAAGGCCTTCCTTAAGTTCGTTGGGCAGTTTCTGGACAAGGCGGCGGCTGGAGAGAAAAAGCCACGAGGACATCTGAATAAAAACAGGATTTAGGCAAGCTGCTGCTGTTCAGCTGGACGAATCAAGAAGTGGGCTTCTCCCTCGGGGACTTGGCTGCTGGCTCTTACTTACGTCGCGCTGCCCTCAGAACCGCGAAGACGGGAACCTGGTTTTCTACGTGGGGAACTAAAAAAGACCGAACTCTCTTAGATTCGTCATCCGAGAGGTTTGGGTCTGAGAATCTGGAGACAGTTCAAATTCCCCTTCGTTTTCCTGCTCAGCGCTTATAATCAGGAGCCGTTTTAAATGATTATATTTTCTTCCTTCCTTCCTTTTTACCTCGTAGATGCTGTTTCTTGCCTGCTCCCTGCAGGGAAGGATTATTCACCGTCCTTGGGAATTTCGAGACCTGGGACGATGACTCCTCCTCCTCCTCCCCAGGGAGCCATTCCAGGGTCCTTGCAACCTGACCCTCTGGTTCTCCCATTTCGCCTGCCGTGTCTCAAGGACGGGCTGGGGGGTGGGTGGCAGCCAGCAACACCTGCTTGGGATAATTCTCCCCCATGGCAGCTTCTTCGGACAGCGGCCGGCCTTGGTCTTCTCTGGTTTCAGGCCGGGACGGCGGTCCCGGGCCACCAAAAGCCAAGCCAGCCGAGAGGAAAACCAAGGTGTTTTGCCCAAAGTGCTGCTTGGGTCCTGTTCAGGGTCTCTCTATCCCTCCCCCTCCCCTTGTTTCTGATTTCCCTTCCCCCCATCCCAGGTTGCCTAGGTAGGTCTTACCTTCCCCAAATCTTTGAGCCTTTTCTTGGCCCCAGGGAAGGGATCCATGTCCCGAGTGCTGAGATGTTCAATAATCCTTTTTCATCCCAGAAGGAGGGTCTCCGCTGCCTTTACTGTAGGCAGGAGAACCAAGCCCCCTCCTCCCTCTCCTCTCCCCCCCCATCCAATTCCCAAGACCCCAGGCCCCTTTATTTAAGGCAAAGACACCACCAGGGTCCCCGAGCCTGCGTACCAAGTACAGGTGGTCCTTGACTTAAAGCAATTCATCTAGTGACCATGTGAAGTTATATTTTGGGCTCGAGGACCAGCTGTTATCAAGAGCCTTAACCGTTTTTTAAAACATGGCTTCCGTCTCGGGAAGATCGCAAGCGCCGCGGCGGCAAACGAAGCCAGTTGGGAAGGAAGGCCCTACATCCCTGAGGAGGGAAGAAGCGGGGGTAGCATCGTTCAGATCTCTTTATTTACAGAGGTATTTAAAAGGCGGAGGACAGGGGGGGCTCGGAGATGAAGGGAGGAAAAAAAAAAACGAAGTTGGGCTCGTGAGCCCCAGAATCACTCTTGGGCTGCTTTGGAGTTGTAGCCATGGGGAAGGAGGGAGGGGGGTGCCTGAGCCATGGAAGCCGCTTCCGGGATGATGGAGCCCCCAATTTATGTCTTCTTCTGTTTGCGTCCTGCAAAAGGAAAGAGGTGAAAAGCAAGAAGACAGCTGGCAAGACCTCTCCCCCGGCTTATCCAGCCCATCCATCCCTCTCTTCCTCCCTCTCTCCCTTTCCTTCCCTTCCTTATCCTTCCCTTTTTCATCCTTCCCTTCCCTCCCCCTCTTCCTTCTTCCCTTTTTCATCCTTCCTTCCCTTTCTCATCCTTTCCTTTTTCATCCTTCCCTTCCATTTCTCATTCTTC